TTGTGCTACAGTCTTAACTCTGACACAGCCCTTTCCAACCTTAGTCTGAGGTACGTTAAGATGCTTTTATAATGAGAAATCAAGGCAGAAAGTTTTGATTTGGGAGTTGCAAAAAGGCTTCAGGGAGATAGGAACCCCACGTGCCACCTAGTGGTCTTTGAGACTTGGGTGCCCATCAAAGTCTCTTAGAAAAATAGTCTAAGCCAATGACCTGACAAGTTGATAGTCCCACAAGAAGTCACTGACAGAGTCTAAGCCAATGACCTGACAAGTTGATAGCCCCACAGGAAGTCAAGTTTGTCAAGTTGATTTAGAAATGTAAATCAAGTAGTTAGTTTTTCTCTGGGTTTTTGAGTGAAAACAAGTGCAGAATTTCTCAAGATATGGTTTTTCTTTGAACATCAGCAGCATTTCCCATGTTGCGTTTGTGTCTGACTTGAATTTACTGGTTTTTTTAAAGAAATGGTGATAGATACTCTCTCTTCCTCAGAGCACTGAACACGAGTCAGCTGAAAGCTCTCAGCATCGATATGCTCCCTGGTTACCGGGACCCCTATTCCTCCAGGCCACTAACCAGAGGAGAGATCGGCTGCTTCCTTAGTCATTATTACATCTGGAAGGAGGTAAGGAGCTTGTGGGTGCCTCGAGGTTCCTGCAGGAAGGTGCTGTGGGCAAGCACAATGGGAAGACATCCAGCCAGTCGCAGGGCAGAACATCAAATACAGTACAGGTTTCTGGAAGTGTAGGATGGAACTGTTTTCCTTGGTTGGTAAGGGATCATGCACAGGGGTTTTCTTGAACGCCCTGTTCAGCTTTTTCCTCTCTGATTTCCATTTGCCAGCAGCTCTGAGTGATTTTTATCATAACACTTTCATGACTGGTTTTGCAAACCATCCACTAGCTTGCTTGGAGTGAGTTTGCTTAGGAGAAAGGCAAGAAGGTTTTGAAGAACAAACGGTGTTAAAAATGGTGTCCTGCTAAAAGCTGTAGCTTTCACTTGTCCCTGGTCACCTGGAGGGTGAATCTTGAGAGGGTCTGGGCTGTGCTGGTCAGAGATGCTGGAGTTACACAGCCCAACATCAACAGGAGGGATTATTTCAAGTAAGGTGTGGTGGAGGTGGGGAGAAGGACTTGGTACTGAAAGAAGGTTGGGCAATGGCAGCAGTTACCCAAATACAGGCAGCCCTCTGCCTTCAGAGGTGTTGGTTGCAGCAGCTCTCAGCAGGGCAGGACATTGATCCAACCAGCCTAGAGCCAGCAGGAGTGACTTCAGTACTGGGAAGTCAGGCTATGCTTTTGGGCCTGAGACTTCTAAATCGCCAACAGTCAGAGGAGAACATGAGAACCTACATACAAGATGCCTTCACACGTGTGTTCTCTAAATCATCAGGGCCAGACTTTGGATATACTGGATTGTCCTCCTTCCTAGACTTCAGGAACACCTACTTTCAACAAAGCGGTTTTTCTGAACAGCAGCTTTGGCATCGTTCTTCTGAGGAGGTGGTTGCTGTGGTCATGCTAGATGATAGCACATGGGTTCTAGATGGTGCAACATCAGATGGAGGGTTTTTCTAGGTTGCAGATGCTCAGTAATTTCTGCCAGTCATGTACAACGAGTGCCCTGTGTAAGTAGGATGCCTTTCATTGCTTAGGTTGACGTGAGCTGGGTGTTGCTGAAGAATCTTAAGCCAGATAGTCTCATTGGCTCTTGCAGTCTCTCCCAGCTGAGCTGTGAATCTGGGAGTGGTTCTCCAGCCTCCTTACTGGCATGGTCTGAAAGGCAGTGCCAGGTCAGGATGACCCCAACAATTTCAAGGCGCAGAGAGTGGCCCACGTGTGCCCCTGTGGTCACTTCTGAACCCTCTTGTTTCAGGTGGTGAACAGACAACTGGAGAAGACGCTTGTTATTGAGGATGACGTACGCTTTGAACACCAGTTTAAAAGGAAGCTCATGAAGCTGATGGATGACATTGAACAAGCCCAACTAGACTGGGAGCTTATGTAAGTAACTGGTGCTCAGCCATCTGGGAGCTCCTGGGCACACAGAGAAGGGCAGCAGCACCTGCTGTGTCATGATAGAGGTGCACATCAATGCTGGAGTGCAGGGAAGGGTGGCAGAGACTTCTCAGTGGCTCTTCCCATCAGGACAGATCTGCCTTCTGGGGCAGGCTGATGCTGGAATGCCCATTGGGTACCATTACTGTCCTTTGTGGGCAGCGCTGGTTGATCTCAACAGTGTCTGGAGATGCTGCTGTGACAAAGGAACTGACACAGCTCAGTCCGATGTCATCTTAGCTCCCTTATGAAGTCTTTCACATCTATGCCACCTCCTGGGTTAAGAAATGGATGTTGGGGGTGGTGCAGGAAAGAAGTCTGTGCAAAAGAAATCTGGTCAGGGATTACTTACTGAGTTGACCTTTTGCCCTTCCCTGGTTGACATGAATACTCTTGTGGTCCTAACTGCTGCAGATTCACTTTGGTTCCAATTTTCATGGTCTTCTCACCCTTTAAGCTATATTGGCCGGAAAAGGATGCAGGTGCAGGAGCCTGAGAAAGCAGTTCCCAATGTCATGAACCTGGTGGAAGCCGATTACTCCTACTGGACGCTGGGGTACGCAATCTCTTACCAAGGGGCTCAGAAACTCATCGGAGCTGAGCCTTTCAGCAAGATGCTGCCTGTAGATGAATTTCTGCCAGTCATGTACAACAAGCACCCTGTGTAAGTAGGATGCCTTCATTGCTGGGGTTGACATGAGCTGGGTCTTGCTGAATGATCTTAAGCCAGATCGTGTTGGTGTGTCTCACTTCTGCAGCCTATCTGGTGGGGGACAGGGCTGCTCCTCGTGCTTTTTTGGTTGTGAGACACATGGCTATCTCTGGTAATGGAGGCTTTGGTTGTATGGGCTGGGCTGTGTGTGGTTGTAAAGCTTGTGGTTTTGACTCTGGAGAGTCAGACTCCACCCCAGCAACTATCTCTACTCCGTGGGACCTGTTTGCACAGTGGATTGACTTGTATAAGCAGTGGCACTGATGAACGTTTGCTTGTTACTGGTGCTTTTTCTCTTCTCTTTAGAGCAAAATACATGGAGTACTATCAGTCCAGAGACTTGAAAGCCTTTTCAGCAGAACCCCTGCTTGTTTACCCCACCCACTACACAGGGCAGCCGGGCTACCTCAGTGACACAGAGACCTCTACCATCTGGGACAACGAGACCGTGTCAACGGACTGGGACAGAACACACTCCTGGAAATCCCGACAGCAGGGCAAGATCCATAGCGATGCCCAGAACACGGATGCCCTGCCTTCCCAGTCATCTCTCAACACGCCATCCTCCAGGGATGAACTATGACTGCCCGCTTCCCCCGGGGACTCTGTTGACAGCTGAACCTGCCTCACACTTTAGCTTTTCACCCTTGAAAGTTGTAGAGCAGCTCTTCATGTGGTCTCCTTCCCACCGCTTCAAATGGCAAAGCACAGTGGTTGGACCTGACAACAAACCAAGCCGCTTAGGACTGGGTGGGAGATGGAGGAGGAAAAAGAACAAGTGTTCCAGACTGGCAGAAAAAAGGCAGAGATCTGAACAAAAGCCCTCACAAGCTTTTGTAAAAAACAACAACCTTGAATGACGTCTTTCTACAGTTTCTCCTGTAGAATACTGTATTTATAAAGATTAATATATAGAGGTGTACAAGTGTTAATACCTTTCTGGGTAGCTGTAACTGGGCTGCTGTGTAACTGTTGCTCCTTGTAGGTTTGTAGGCTTTTATGACCCTCTTCAATGAGAGAAACTGCAGGCAAGCGTTTGGGTTATTTGGTTTTGTTTTTCAAAGGGATCCCTGTCAGAATCAAGATGGTTTCCAGAAATGTTCAGTGCACTGGAGCGGCGCTCCTCGGTAGTGTCTTCTCCCTCTTCACACTTTTATCGAAAACTAGGGCTGGCTTCCCATCTGCAAACTTCAAAACTTGCTAGAGCCCATCTAAACAGACCTCCCAATCCAGAACTAATGTCTTGGCTTGTCTGATGTGTTGGAAGCTAGGAGAGAAGGTGGAGGTTGCTGGTTCGATTTGTCTCTGCGCTGTGGAGCACAGGTGGCATTTGTCCATCTCATGTCCTGCTTCACCCCCTGCCTCAATTTATTCCTTCAGGAAAACAAAGCCTGAGGACCTGTTTGCAGGCCTGTTTAATTAGGCCATAAAACCAAGTGTAGGACTTCTAGGAACTTTTAATTTTAGAAGTTTGGTTATGAACTCCTTATACCATCTTTATAAAAACAAAACAACCTACAGAACTGTTAGTGTTGTCAACTCTACTGCTTCCGACAGCCTTGATAGAATTGTGTTACAGGACGGAAAGGCAACTTGTCTTGATATTTTTTCACGTGAGGAGCAAACTTGGGTTTGTTTTTTCTTTTGAATGAGTTCTGATGTACTCGCCGTTGGCTAACGTGGCAGCAGAGTATGGTGTTTATTATTTTATTTTTTTTCTTAAATGTTTCCCAGAGGCCGGGTGATCATGGACTACACTGCTTAGGTGTTGCTGGCCCAGAGCTCAGCCTGCAGGCTGCTGTTGTGGTGGGAGGATGCCCTCCTGGACTCCCAGTCTAGAGACTCACCTGCTGGCAGAGCTGTGCAGTTCAGTATGTGTGGCTGGTTTTTGGTTTGTGGGTGGTTTTTTTTGTTTGGTTGGGTTTTTTTTTATTTTTTTGTTTGTTTTTAATAATTACTGATCAATGTTGTGCTTTCTGCTAAAGAAAACATGTTATTACCTGTCAGCCGGTCTGATAATACATAGAACCTGGTGCAAGATGAGCAGCTGTTGTGTATTCTTCATGGGGTGGGAGTAGCCCTGGCTGGGAAAGGCCAGCTCAAGAGTTTTTCAGCTGTGTCACTCTACGATGGAGTCAATGCCCATATAAATGTGCCTGTTCTGCAGCTGCTGCCTGCAAGCTGCATTCCTTCTGCTGTCCAAGCTGGAGCAGGTGCCCATGCAACGTGGTGAGTATGTAGGATAGGTCTGGCATGGGCCACGACACACAGCCTGGGTCATTCCTCTCTCAGAACCCCTCTCTCTTCCTCCTCAGGTCTCGCTCTACCGCTGGCAAGTCTGGGCTGTTTGAATCACTGCTGAGCATGGCAATCCCAGAGGTGATGGTAAGAAGCTCGGCGTGGCCTTCAGAAGCAGGACACCTGTGAAGTGGTGAGCGTCCAGCATATCCTCAGGAGCCACTGTAGATACTGCTGTGCGTCTGCATCCGGCAGAAGAGCAGGGATGAGCCAGTCCCTTTGCTCTGCTGTCGTTTGTCTCAGCTAATATTGTGGCTGCCTCTCCAGGTAAAGGCTTGTTATGGGTACACTGTGTTCATGTACATCATCCCTGTGTGTCTCTTTCACCCTCATGTTCTGTGCGAGACCCATCTCTTTGTCCATGAGAGGCCTCTCTTTTCCCCACCCGTGGAATTTATCTGTGTCAGCAGGAGCTCTGTTGTCCCTTTTATTTGACTCTGGAAGTGAGTGGTAGAAGGGGTTTGATGGCAGTTTCAGGGGAGGGGTGGAAATGAATAAGGAATAAAAATGCAATGAATTAAATGGATGTGTCTATTTCAGAGCAGGTATGGCCTCAATCTAGCTGACTGTTATTTTACCTGTATGCACAGGTGTGGGTTTGTATACGTATACAATTTTCCATTTATTTACGTCCACATGCTGTGGTCCATGGCCAGTGGTTCTACCTGCTGAGGCAAGGGCTATTTTTCCCTGTCTGAGTTTTCAGTTCTTTGGCAGGTGTTGCCCAGGCTTTGCCTTACTCAGAATTAACTGTGTTTTGGAAAAGTCGGAGCCAGTTGAAACACTGCTGTGTTTTTCTGATATTTTTTCCACTTTCTGTGTATTTATTTATTTTGACTCATCTAATAGGCTTCAAAACTCGTCACAAGTTGGAGCAGCAGCTTGAACCAGCCTCAGCTGTGGCCGAGAGGGCCGTTTGCTGCGTGCAGGGCAGGGACTGTGCTGTCAGTAAGGAAGTGCCAGGCTCCTTCATCAACCACAGAGGGCTTTTTTTTTTTTTTTTTTGGAATATCTAAGCTTCTCTTGCATTAAAATTCTGGAAAATCACTTTTTTGGAAGGGATAGTCAGTCTGTTCTCTCTTTTGGTGGGGTTTTTTTTTTTTTTTTTTTCCCTTCTCATTTATTTTTCCTCCTTTTTTCTTTTTTTCAGCTTTTGGTAGGGGGTTTTTGCTCTGCTGTGGACCATCTGAGCTAAGTAAGGAGCCCCCCAGACAATGGAAAAACCACCCAGCAGTGCCCACCCCAGCGACTGTGGTGACCAACCAGTGGAAGGTAGGAACAGGTTTTACAAAATAGAACTGAAAAAAACCCCAGCTTTTTCACAAGAAGGGTGTTGGTGACAGGCCCTAAAAACGCTTCTCTGCAATAAGACTGCTTGTAACCTAACAACTCTTGTCTTTGCTTTTTGTTAAAGAAAGGAGAAGTGCTGTTCTGCTCTTAATATGGCAATATGAAATTCCTAGTTCACAAGTAGATTGTATTTATCCTGAGTAAGGCTGTGGTGTTGTGTTTTATCGCTCTAGGTAGTTTAGGTAGGAAAAAAAAAAAAAGGTGGTAGAAGCTTAACTTCAGGGTAATTTTTCTTTTGCCTTTGGTATTGTAATGAGAGCCTGTTTAGTGACAAAGGCAACTCTCCCAGTGTGACTTTTGGCACTTTTTGGAATCTCCCCCAAAGCTGACAGGACTTGTGAAATGGCAGGGCACCTGTGGGAGGGGTCCAAGGGGAAGAGGGACTGTGCTAAAAGGCAGAAGCAGCAGCTGCAATATAAACTCCACACATTTGTATTGTGTGCAGGGGAGGGGGGGGAAACCCAACCAAATGGTTGAGGCCAGGAGGAGACATGACATGATAGAGACAATGGGGAGAAGATGGAAAAAGATGGAAACACTCAAACCTTTTTTTTTTTCCTTTTTGTGTCAACTTGGTGCAGAAATCATTCAGTGACCCAAAAGAGAATGATTTCATGAAGAAGCAGTTGTAAAATTTGTGCATAATTTAAGTTACTTGGTTAGTTACAAGGTAAATCATTAAACTTGGAAGCTCCAAAAGTAGCACAAAACTTTCCCTAGCAGTAGTGGGTTGGTGCATGACTGGGGCACTGGGGTGGCTTTTGCTTTGCTGACATTTCCATTTAGCTCATTGCACACCTGGAACATACGGCCTGTGATCAGCTGCTGCCGCTCAGGGCGTTGTGTTGGTGAGTAACTGGTTCACTTGGACACACTGCTGAAGAAACACAGAGGCCATCCTCATAAAAACAACAAAAAAGCATGACAGTAATGGTGACGTTGTTACAAACAGTACAAACCTCTTAATGGGTGTGATGTTAAAGAATCAAACAACGTGGAAGGGATACAGCTAAAGGGGATACAGCTAACTGATGTTAAAGAATCAAACAACGTGGAAGGGTTACAGCTAGAGGGGATACAGCTAAAGGGGATACAGCTAATGTGCCATTTCAAGTTTTCTGGAGGGCAGGGAAGATGAGGTGTTGGAGCTGAAGAAGTTGAGAACAGTTAGTAAAAGTGATGAAGTTGAAGAGGGTGACAGTGAGGGAAGTGGTGAGGTGTAAGAAGAAACAACAAACCCACAATCGACATTCAGTAATAAAGTCTAAGACAGGAAAATTGATTAACTCCAGGCAAATATTAGTGGAAAAAAAGTTTATTTGTTGTATAAAGACAACAGGTAAGCAATTAATACCAGCTTTTTCATAGATAACATTTTGGAGGGTGTAATTTTAAAATCAAGAACATTCAACTTTCAGCTTCATACAGACACAACCTCTGAGTGACCAAAACTGTACTTGAGCAAAGGATACCGTACAGACATTGACGTGTGCTGACACTGAAAGACAAAGGAAGCTGAATTTCTCTTGCGATCTTGCCCTAACGCTGGGCAAAGGTTAAGGCTCAGTTAGAAACTCGCTGTCTTTACCCTCCCAACAAACATACAGTTGGAGTTCTTAAACTCATCAGACCTGCAATGGTGCTTCTTGTAAACAGAGGTGGTAAATCATCGTGTAGTGTAGAACACAGTACAACCCAACATTGTTTGCATTATCAGTTTATCAACTGATCATGAGCCCGGTTTTGGAAATTAGTGCTACAGAACCGGGGGGGAAGAAAGGTCCAGATGTGGGAAGTTCAGTATTTGAGTTTAATACTGACGTATCTGTCTCAGAGACAGCCTTTTTAGTACAATCCAATGTCTCGTTTATGGCTTTTTAAAATAAAACCTCCATCCTTTCAAGGAAGCCTGTCTTCTGGGAAGAGACTCAAGGAGTCTGTTCTTCAAAGTTTCACAGAGAACAAACGGTTAAATTCTTTAGTCCAGCTGATGTACCATGTCAGGAAATTCATTCAATAGATGTATATAAAGAACAAGGGAGGTGCTTGTAGATTATGCATAATAATGCTACAAGTATATAAAATCTCTGGTTGGTTGGGGCAATGTTTAAAACCTGGCTTCTGCTCTTAATACCCACTTTTAAAATAAAGGGTCCTGTAGTTGCCCCTCATGAATGAAAACACAAGTTAAAAGTTTTGCTCTTGAAGAGTAATTGCACATTACAAAGAGGTCATTTCAGAGTCATCAGTCATTTCAGAGTACACGCAAAAGGCAGCGATTTCTGTTCACTGGGTTAGCGAAGTAAAAGGAAAACCACCCTGGAGTGGCGTTAAGACAAGACCTAAGTCCAGACAAGTAGTGTTTGTTCATGAAATAAACATGACATTCATCCAAAAGCAAGTGCAGTCCATTCTCGTAAAGTTCTTTGGAAAAAAAGTCCAAAAATAGGTAAATTTCTGGCGTGGAACAAGTGCAAATAAAAGTTTGCCGGCCGTGTGGGAGCAGTACACACACTTGCAGTTTCTGCTGTCTCCAGCAATGAGCGTTTTGGGGACGTACCCACCCTGCTTTTTTGTGAATGCAGATGTCTTCTGGAGGCAGCAGCTGCTCGTGGTGCTCAGCTCACCCACACCTTCTGCAAACCAGTGTTCCCGTCAGTCAGCTGGAGGCTGGCTGGGACCTCCTCCTTGGTTCAGGCAAAATGGTATTGAGACTTTTTCTTCTCCAGTTTTATAAAAATAAATTCAGATTTCTCTTCTTCTGTGTAATACTGGCACAAAGGAAAATGTTTTCTCACAAAAGAGTTGGTTTGTATGGTGTTATTAAGACAAATGTTCCAGTCCCGTTTTCCCCTCTAAGTGGGGGCTCTCACCTTCTTAGGCAAATGTGCAAAACAAAAAAAAAAAAGAAAATAAAGATAAAAATTCCAGTCCGGTGTCCCGTAAATCCGTGTTTGTCAGTCCGTATGTAGTTGCGAGGGAGGAGACACATTTCTGGCTGTAGGGTCTATCAGATGTTCACTTTGCACTTCAGCCTCGTGGATGGTAGGAGTTGGAATACTGACACATTCATCTGCTGTGATTCTGTAATACTGGATGGTAGCAAAGGGTCTCCTCCCCGCGTCCTGCTCTCTCTTTACAGTGCAATTTTGCTGGGCCTTTTGCTCCGACGGCCCCGTTTGGTAGTTCCGGGGAGTTTCAGAATGCAACGGCCCCTCTGTTTCGCCCGTCTGTTGACTGGAGCTTTTTTCCGCAGGATGAAATCGAAGTTCACGCGGCTGTTCATGCCGTAGAACACGTTGGCGTTGTGGGGAAACACCAGCTCTGCAGAAGAGGGACCAAGAGCAAGTGTTAATTTGCAGTGTTGCACGTAGCAGAAGGAAAGTCAAGGCCTGGGGGGGGGTGGGGTGGGGTGTGGAGGTTATTGTCACTGGCAGCTATGACAACACATCCATAGCGTTTCTAACATCATATTTTACTCTCTCCTTCAAAATCCAACAGAACTTTTTAAGCAGCAGCAGCGTTCTGCTTCCCTACCTTTGTCCTCAGAGATGATCTGTACAAGCTCATAATCGTCCACTCTTTCAGAGTCCAGGTTGTGCTTCAGCATAGCTTTCTCGATGACAGCAGGAGTTCTGTCTTGGTTAGTTATCTGGAAAGAGAGAATTCTGCTTATTTACTCTATATAATGATTTAATAATCAGCCAAAGTCTGCCTTATCTATGGACCACTTGGTCTTGGAAAAGATTTCAGAGAACTGAAGAAATACAATGGCACTGTAATGAGGACATAGGGACTGCTAGATACTGACATGGGATTTGTGACGTTTGGTAGTGGTGGTTTTTTTAGTTCAAGACAACAGATACTGTACTAGAAAGAGATAGCAGTAAATCACAGTGTCTGCTCTCCTGAGCAATCGCTTTGAGAGATGAGACGTTCTCACTGGCCATAAAAGCCCCATCTGTTGTTTGCAGACACCAATTAATCTGCAGACTCCTGTGTTAAATACTTTCTTTGACATCCTTTTGGCCTCGTAACTGGGTGTACTGTCTGCTGTGGCAGTGCTGTGCATCCGGAGCAGACCCAGGGCTCCCTCCAGAGCCTTATGCAGTCAAAAGGAAGATTTGTCTCGCCAGTAGCCGAATTTGTGAGGCCCTTGGGGAACTTGGGGGAACTTTGTAACTTGGGGAGGTGAGACCATGAAAATCAGAAGGTAGTTAAACGTGCTAAGAACTACCCCCCTTGTGTGTTTGTTCCCCCCAGGCCCTGAGGGATCCCAAGGGTTCGCTCAGCAGCTGAGTCTCCATCAGGTGTCTGCAGAGATTACGCATGGGCCAGTAACGCTGCCCTTGGGCCAGTAACGCTGCCCTTGGGCCAGCACAGGCTCTGTGCTCCCTCGGCCAGACTCCATCCCTGGAACCAGCACCAAGGGAAACGCCTGAACGCTGACTGCTCTTGGTCTGCAAACCTTTGCCACAGAGAGAAGCTTCCTTCCTACAGCTCCCCGTTTCCCTACCAGTTCCTGGGGAAAGCTTTTCCACACAAAAGTTGGCCTGTGGCACCTTACGTCAAAACTCACACCTGAATTCAGAGCCAGAGGAGAAGCAGATATCGCTAACAGAAGGGCAGGAGCAGGAAAGCCTGCACTTGATCAGAATGCTTCACTTTGAACTTCTTGCTAAATTACAAGTTTTAATTTCAAGACCAGAAACTTCCACAGAGATGCTGTTTTTCAAACCTCTCGTTCATACCGTGCTCCACATATTTTGAATTGTAACAGTTGTCACTTTCCCTTTCAAGCCAGGTTTGATTAGTTGGCTCAGTGAATAGGTGTTTTCAAAACTAAAAGCACCATTTGTTTAAATCACCCTGGATGAAAACATTCAACGCTAACAGCATTTTGCTGTTCCACACCACTCACCATGATGCTCTTGTACATGTTGCCGTTGTCGTCGTCTACGCTGACGCGGATGAGGCACAAATCCAAGCTCTGCTGGTTGTGAACAAGAGGCAGCACTTTTGAGGTATTAGGTGTCTCGGAGACAGAGCCCATGTCCATGTCCGAAGAAGAGGAGTTCAGTATAGAAGGGGTTGAGACTTCAGATGATGGCACCGACATGGCGTTCAGTATAGAAGGGGTTGAGACTTCAGATGATGGCACCGACGTGGCGTTCAGTATAGGGCTTGAGACTTCAGAAGGCACCGACACGGCGTTCGGTATAGGGGTTGAGACTTCAGATGGCACCGACACAGCGTTCGGTATAGGGGTTGAGACTTCAGATGGCACCGACACAGCGTTCGGTATAGGGGTTGAGACTTCAGATGGCACCGACACAGCGTTCGGTATAGGGGTTGAGACTTCAGATGGCACCGACACAGCGTTCGGTATAGGGGTTGAGACTTCAGATGGCACCGACACAGCGTTCGGTATAGGGGTTGAGACTTCAGATGGCACCGACACAGCGTTCGGTATAGGGGTTGAGACTTCAGATGGCACCGACACAGCGTTCGGTATAGGGGTTGAGACTTCAGATGGCACCGACACAGCGTTCGGTATAGGGGTTGAGACTTCAGATGGCACCGACACAGCGTTCGGTATAGGGGTTGAGACTTCAGATGGCACCGACACAGCGTTCGGTATAGGGGTTGAGACTTCAGATGGCACCGACACAGCGTTCGGTATAGGGGTTGAGACTTCAGATGGCACCGACACAGCGTTCGGTATAGGGGTTGAGACTTCAGATGGCACCGACACAGCGTTCGGTATAGGGGTTGAGACTTCAGATGGCACCGACACAGCGTTCGGTATAGGGGTTGAGACTTCAGATGGCACCGACACAGCGTTCGGTATAGGGGTTGAGACTTCAGATGGCACCGACACAGCGTTCGGTATAGGGGTTGAGACTTCAGATGGCACCGACACAGCGTTCGGTATAGGGGTTGAGACTTCAGATGGCACCGACACAGCGTTCGGTATAGGGGTTGAGACTTCAGATGGCACCGACACAGCGTTCGGTATAGGGGTTGAGACTTCAGATGGCACCGACACAGCGTTCGGTATAGGGGTTGAGACTTCAGATGGCACCGACACAGCGTTCGGTATAGGGGTTGAGACTTCAGATGGCACCGACACAGCGTTCGGTATAGGGGTTGAGACTTCAGATGGCACCGACACAGCGTTCGGTATAGGGGTTGAGACTTCAGATGGCACTGACACGGCGTTCGGTATAGAACGGGTTTTGATGACAGATGGCACCGCCGAGGGAGACGTATCCATGGAAATGGTGGAGGAACAGGAGGATTTGGAGGATTCGGAGAGCTACACAAGAGAGAAAAACCACTGTCAAAACCCAGACATTCTGTACGTGTCTGTGTGTCATTCTAGAGGAAGAGCTTGATAAAGCAGAAGGCACAAACAAAACCTCCATGATGTGCACTCTGTCCAGCAGGCTGACAGTGGTAATTCCTTGCCTCTGGAAAAAGTGAGCTTCACTTGATTAATGTCACCATTTTAATGAAAACTTATTTCTGATTTGGTGTGCTTGACACCACACTGCTTGCTTTTGCCTCTCACTAAGAGCAGACCAGGAGGTGGCAGCAGATACAAGGAACTGGATTCTTCCAGTTGTGGGCAACCAGCTGGGGACTGGGACAGGCCAGGAAGGAGCAGAAGACATCACGGGCACTGCTGCTCCTGTTCCAGGCCGGAGCCTTTACACAAGTCAAAATACATGCACACCCTCCCTGTCTACAACTTCTCCCTGAATATTCTTTCCTCAGTGGAAACTGCCCCCTTCCTTTCCCTGCTGCTCAGGGTTTTGCCTTTCTCTTCACCTGCCTTGCTCAAAAACTGCTGAGAGGATCTTCCCTTTCTAACTTGCTTACCACTGTAACAACTGCTCCAGGTCTAAACAACTTATGGATGACAGTGTCTGGGCCTCCAATGCTTCATTTGGTTTAAGAACATTTAGTACAATTTCATTTTAAATATCCATAAGCTAAACCCCAATATGACACTTGAGCAAACCATCCCTAAAAAGGGCTTCAACAACACAGCTACCACAATTCAGTTCAAAAGGGAAGACTCTGTAGGGAAGACATCCCTGTGGATTGCCACCATCAGATCCCTTTTGCTGGTTTCCTGCCTGTATAGCTGGTCTCTCTGAACAGTGTCAGCACACGCCCGGCCCATCTGCTCTCAGCAGGAACACCCTTCGGCTCATTTTGCTGTGGGGTGTAGAGCTTTGCCTTCTCTGCAAAACCAGGGATTCCTGAGGCGCTGGGTTGTGTCAAACACTGGCTGTGTGTGCTGAGAGGGAGCTGGCGTGCAGGAGGAGGTGCTGTCCCAGGGGAATTAAACTGAGCCAAGGCAAGGTGTTCATCTTGGCAGCAAGGAGCTCACGGGAGGGCAAACCCACAGGGCTGGCAAGCCCTGACCTCACCTGCCTGTCACTTGGCCAACTGCTGCTGCTCTGCCTTCCCCAGGATCAGGCTGTCACTAACGCACACAACCTTCCAACCCAGATAACATCTTTCCCAGAGTGCAGGCAAAGCTTTACTGCAGTTGGGCTTTCCCCGGTGAGCACACGGCTGCTTGAGTCAAACTTCCTTTTCCAGCTCCAGCTGATTGCGCATGATGGCCATGGCAGCAGGCTGCCAACAGCAGAATGACCTACCGACGGCGAGACATTCGAGGAGGAAATGACTCGCTGTTAATCTAACTCCTCTTCACCTGATCCCACCTCTGTCTTCATTTGATTTTGTTTGGGGGGGCTTAAAAATCCTCTCGTCCAAGTCACTGCTAACGTCACGCTGCCGTATGCCATGAGCAAGTGTGACGTTCAGGCTCCTCACCCCACTTCCCACAGGCACAAAGGCAGAAATGCCACCAGCCTGCCCCCATCTTTCTCAAAAGCCACAATGAGGGACTGAAAGGAAAATTAACCTCGTGCTTCCCCAGGGCCTCACCTAAACCAAAAATGCTACCAGGCACCAGAAGAAAATCTGGTTTCGGGGAAGGAAAGCTTCAGTCTGCCTTGTATCTCAGCAACACAGAAGGAATTGCACAAAAATTCTGTCTGGATTGCTTCTGTTTCTATGCACTTCTTTCTAGAGTCTCTCCATCCCACTGAAAGCAATCCTCTAGTCAAGACCCACAGACTTGGGCAAGCATCTAGGACCTGCCTGCAGTGTTGACCATCTCTCACAGGCCCAGCCCGTACCTTTTTCCGGAGCCCATCAGGAGTGCCAATAGGACTGATGCAGACGTCTTCATATTCCGGTTGATTAAGCTCACACGACGAAACACTGCCCGAGTCCGTGCTTTCACCAGAGCTCCCACGTGGAGCAGATTTGGGTTGCTTTTTGTTGGGTGTGCTGTGGTTGATCCCCTCAGAGCCTAGAAACAATCTAGTATAGAAAAGAAAGCGTAACAGCCAGTAAGTGAAAACAGAACAGAGCTGGGCTGAGCAAAGCTGTCACTTGGTTCAAAAATCTTACGTATTGTTTTGTTTTCCTATCTTGAGTGGCCTATTGTTTTCATTTCCCTATGTTGTTTATATGGTTTGTCAAGACAGTTTATTACACACTAACACAATACCTTCTTGACACAGCACACCCACCAGCTGCAAGGCAAAAAGCAGAACTAATGCCCCACGAGCACAAACGAGACTCCTCTTCAGTCAGTTAAATTTTCAGACTCACTTGGCAGGAAATGATGGATCGTAAACCTGATGTGTTTGCGATCCAAGGGAAGAGGGGCAAGTTAGAGGCATGGCAGCTGGCTCCACCTTGTGTGCTCCTGCACACTGCTGTCACCCTGGTCCCTCTCACACAAGGCAGCTCAAGACCTACTCAGTCACCATAAGTGAGACGGTACAGGAAAGGTAATGCATGGCCAGACATGGGGAAAGGTCTTTCAAAAGGCAAATTCATTCCTTTCTGCAAATTCTTTCACTCAACAGGAGTGCTACAGATACCAGTTTCTCTCTAAGAGTCCAACCAGACACGTACACAATGAGGAGATCACAAGAAAGTGTAAATTACAGGCTTTCCCTCTCCGAGACTCATTCCTAAATGCAGGTCAAGTAAATTTGAAGGAGTGTCAAAGGAAACAAACTTTTATAATATATAAGGTAGGGAGGCAAGGTGAATTAGATGCCGTGTCAGCATGCAGTTAATGATTTAAAACAATTTAGAGAGGTGTCACTCACTTTTTCCAGGATGAATTATGCCCGTCTTTTCTACAGTATTAATTTGCAAAATACATTCAGAGTGCAGTCGAAACAAAACTTTAGACAAAGACTGCATAGCACAAACAAGCACAGTTCAGTAAATTACAATACTACGGCACGGAAACGCAGTCAGGAATGAGGGAACAAAGCCTCTGCTCCACAGCAACAATTCTTACATGCCAAGGGAGACACAAATGAGAGGCCACTGAGAGTTCAGGCATTGTCATCTTCAAAGCTCACATTTTTACAGTGTATTGCCACCGACTCGGGTGGACTGATCAAAACACTTTAAGCCTCTGCTCCACAGCAACAATTCTTACACACATGCCAAGGGAGACACAAGTGAGAGGCCACTGAGAGTTCAGGCATTGTCATCTTCAAAGCTCACATTTTTACAATGTATTGCCACCGACTCGGGTGGACTGATCAAAACACTTTCCAAACAGCTCCACAGATATTTTTTTTTTGCGTGATTTTTTTGGATGAAAACATCTATTCTTTCAGACCCTAACCTGCAGTAGCACTGACAGGAGGTGAATGGCTGAAGGCTGTGCCAAGGGAACTTAAGTGGAAGAATCAAGCAGGAAAGGAGAGTTAAGATCTGTTACTGCTGTTAAATTCATCATTTCCCCCCTCATCTTGATCATGCCACTGGTATGTGGGAGTCCCCTCATATCTCCTCGTGCATCAGGTTCAAATTTCTCACCTTTAAGATATTTTCACTTCGGCCCTTGATCTCTGCTTTCATTCCCTGCAGCTTTCCTTGAATTCCTGCTAGTGTATTGTTTCCTGTGTGTGCTGAGCTGCATGTCCCTGTTCTCCACCCACCTCCTGTTTGAATCTTTGCGGTATTAGACTTAAATTGAACCATGTCCCCATGACTTTTTTCCCCTTCTCTAACTTGAAGACAGTTAGGCAGATTGTTTCCATTATCAAATGCCTTTCTGTTAACCTTAGCTTTCATATTAAAATCCTGCAAGGAATTTTTGCATGTGTATAGCAAATTAGACTAATAACAGGCCAGACTTTATCCTCATTTACTCTGTTTTGCTACTGCATTCAGGGAAGTTATTACACAATAGATATTGAATTTATAACCCAGTGCTAAAATTGTTCCTTTTTCTGACAGCTTAGGACGGCTTGTTTGTTTCTGATCTCTTCATCATTAATAATTCTTATGACTACTTATAACAATAGAAAGGGACAGCTTCAGACAGAAGTATGCATTTCTAGCTGATGGTGTCTCCTTAAAGTAATGCAGTGGTCTGGATCCCCAGCCAGATTTTTCAGCTGGTGAAATGAGTAGGGGTTGTTTGGTTTATGCAGGTTCCTATTAACACACCATTGCCCATGGCCCCGTCATACTCACAGGCTGATCCTCTTCACCATGCTTTTCCGAGGTTTTGGCGATCTAGTGTTAGCAGCTGCTTCCACCTCACGTGCAAGGGTGTAACTAAAGAACAGAGACCATTGGGTTAATTTTTACAGACAATACTACTGGTTACGTATATCAAAGTAGCAAGATATTTGCTATATATCAAGATATATCAAGAAATTTGAGAAAACATCAGTTATTCCCACTTCATAGAAGATCGCGGCTACACAAAGAGGAACACAGCTCGGTCCATATTTTGCCATGGTAAAGGGAATATTTCACTTCTTTAGAATAGTTTTAAAAACTAGTGCTTTTTTGGATTACATTCATAGTTTTATTTAAAAAAAAATCAAGAAACTACCCAATGTGAATCTTGGATAAGCTTTTTTTTTTTTTACTACAACTCAGTATCTGTGCTTACACTCTTAGTGCAGCAAAGTGGGACCTAAATACCTAATGGAGATACTAAAATGCTATAAATAAATTGTCTTGGGTTGGTGTAGCAGCATGTGCAGTAGCACAGAACTGCAGGGCTGCAAAACCCACCCCAAACACCCAGGAGACATTCATCTGGTGAGCGCTCAGCATGTTCTGCGTTGCCTTGGCTACCTGCTGCCCGCACCCACCAGCCAAACGCTCAGCGACTGCATCTTGACATCCCTTAGGATCCTCTTCTGAGCGTGTGTCTGGCCATACAGACACCCCAGACACAGCAGACTTATCATATTTCAAAGCCAGAAGCCTGATTTCCAATCTCAAAACTAAACCCTGCTAAGCGTTCAACAGGTTTTCTACAGCTGTTTAGCAGAAAGCAGATGTATTTCCACTCTCCCCGAGCAGCAGTGTATGTAAGTTTTCCTGTTAGAGGATAGCTAAAGGCTGACATAACCTGCCTGCAGGTGGGTGTGGGGTAAGAACAGCCTGCTTTGCCAGCTGGACTGAGAACCTACCTCTCCTTCTCGGTTAAATGCTGCTGTCTCTTGAACCACTGGATGAATTTTTGGTCTGGTGTTATGCAGTAGTTGTTACACGCAGACTGCAAGAGCTTAATTTGGGCAATTACTTCGAATTCCTAAGAAAAAAAAGTAATCAAACAGGAATTCTAATTAGAAAACACGATAAAGCCAAACAGACTCATGCATATGCTAAACATGTGCAACAACAGATCCAGGACAAACTTTGACCTGAAGTTCAGTTTCAGATGAGTAACTGACTATTTCGAGAACCAGTTTTTCAAACAATGAAGTCTTTTTTTTTTTTTTTTACTTTCCCAGCACCTGTAACGTGCATTGAAATGTGAACCTTCTGTGAGACGCACCCAAATTAGAAGACAAACACAAGGAATCATCATTCACCACAGAGCTTTTCCCAAGTGCTAACCAAAGTGCAATGCAGGTGGGAACCCACCAAATGGCAGCACTGCTGGTTGTTCCTCTAGGAACAGGGGTAGCAAAGGGTCACAAGTTCTTCAGGTGTCCCGACCCTGCTTACCCCTGTGCTGGCTAGACCAGCTCTGAGAGAAGAACCACGCTCTGTACTTAGGTGGTTCTCAGGCAGCAAACAAAGGTAATAATTAGGAGTGGCTCCAATGAAAGCAGAGAATCTGATCCTCCCCGGCTTTGCACTTTGTGCACTCACGCTTGCACCAGAGGAATGTAAAATGCTACACTTAGTACATGTGACCAGAATGCGCTGCTCTTCTGTAATGCCACCTGCATATACACTTTGCCAAAATAATTCTTAAAACCCCCTTGTGGTAGAGCAGGCTCCAGAATCAGGATGCAGGACTGGAGCTGAGCACTCGGCGTGGTTCAGAGGGAACCTTCACTACTGGTTTATATGAAGCTGAACTGATGACCATGGGGAAGCTCGTCTATGTCGTTATTAGACTCTTGAGCTGTGCAGCTCTACATACAAGGCAAGTCCAAGAAGTGGTTTACAGAGCTGGGAGCGGTTAAGGGAAGGAAATGGCTCCATCACGGCCAAATCCAAGTCTGCTTTCAGACCCCAGGACGGAGATTTGGCACAGCTTCAGACAGACAGATGTGACACAAGTACCTTTACTACTACATCCCATTACTTATCTCTGACCAACAAGGATCAGCATTTCTTTCTCGGTGCCGTGTACCTAGTTTGCTCTCTGCAGCCTTTTACCTACAAACAGTTTACTGCAGCAGAAGGAAGACCTTTATAAACTGTATCTTCTGGACAGCAAAGATCTCACAGCACCAGGTCCGATTCACTCTCAGCATAGAGGACACACACATGTAACGTGTTCCCATGGACACCAAATGGAGGGAATGTTCATGCCCAACATGTGAACTCCATGGCAGAAAGTGGCCTGCAGCTCCTCTACCCCTATTGCACATGTCTAAAAAGTAGGTTCTTTTCCAACACTACTCCTTACACTTTGTCAGAGCATTTCAGGGATCTATTCTTTCCTCACAAACTTGCATTAAAATTAGCAGCTGTTGTATATGCTTGAGCAAAGACAACAGGTCTCACCAAGAAAATGCTCTAGAAGAGGACTAAGTAAACTAAAAATCACATAACATTCAACTTACCTTTCTTCTCTTCTCAAAATTTATCAGGCCACCCTGTTGGAAGGAAGTAGAAGAGCACATGCTCAGTTGAATTTAATCACAAACAGGATGAAGTAGCAAGGCTAATGTAAAGCACAGACCTGCCCTGAGTTAAGGACCTTCCAAAAATACCTGTCTCCAGATCTGGTATAAACCACAGCACTCATATATCCGAGTCTCCAAAGGATATCTGACCCCATGGCCTAAATGGCAATGTGCCCAAGAAGAAAAGCCCAGTACAAGAACACTCATAAAAAAAAAAAAAAGAAAGGGATGTGTAGGAACATTACACAGGCCTGATTTCGTGCAGTTTTGCAAAACAGAAAAACCAAAGAAACCAGCAACCATTACCAGCACAGGAAGAATTGTATTTGCCCATTCTTATTATAAATACCACCACTAGCACAATGAAGACTAATGGCCTGCAGTGTGGCTCCTCCAGTGTCTACAGTAATGGGGTTAATTTTCAAAGGTGTTTAAAAACCTTTGAAACACTTTTGAAAATTGGCCCCACCCTCAGTCTCTGTTAAAGGACCAGACTCTCTTGCAATCCTTTTCCCCTTCCTATTCTAGGTTGGTTCCCCCTGCTTGTTCAGCTAAAGAGAAATGAAAAAACCAAGTCTTTAATCACTTTAGAGCTCAGAGTCAATACTGAAGCAACTTCAGTCATCAGTCTGAAGAGCTGTGTTTGTGATCCTGTGTATATTTACCAATTATTCACAGAAATCCTTACACCTAAAATGTTGTTTTCAGAAAAATAAAACAGAGTAATGCAAAGCCTACTTTCTTCACGTTTTCTAACCTAAGAAGACAAGGCAAAATGCAATGCTAAGCTTGTTCCTTGAGATAACTGCACTCAAGTTCACACAAGATTCTTGCCAATAAAACTGTACATTGCTTCATTATTTTCTGAAACCAGATTCCTCTGTTCTTAAGAACTGCACAAAGACCCAATAGAAGATACAGGAACAGACACAGTCAGTACTGGGAAGGCCCGGAAGATATTTAGGATTCAAAAAATTGCCCCAGATTACCTCAACATAGTCCTGAAGAGCTGTGTCAAGCATGATGAGATCAGTGAGGAAGATACCAAGATAAGGTACAGTGCCTTGCATTACTCCCTGCAAATGATAAAAGCAATGTTGGATTAATTGACTGAGAAATGGTAATAACTAGAATGCTAAAATGCTCCTATGTAAGAAAATGAAATAAATAAAAATAGTCTGCTTAACCAAACGGTGGTCTTAGAAATTACATTTTCTTTCATTACATCATCCTCAGTATCTAATCTAGAATTTGTATCAAATTCTAATGAGAGCACGATGCTCACACAGATATTGCCATGTGGTTTTATATTACAATATTGCCACCATACACCGGTTTCTAACAATGGCTCACCAGGACCTGGTCCACCTGCTGTGGAAGAAGCCTTGGGCACCAGGGACAGGGTCCCTTGGTTACCAGCTACAAGAGAAACAGCTGGGGACCAGTCCTGGCCTGTGTAAACAGTTTCTCTCTCTGCTTCATTCCAGTGGATTTTTACTTAATGATAATGTTACCTCTTGCAACAGTCAAGTCAAATCAAGTCACAGTTTTTTTCCTCTAAGAAGTGACCATCTTCCCCAACCATTCACTGCATTTTAATAGTAATTACTCAGATTTTAAGCTTTCTAGGTTGCTAGTAGTTGTAGAGTTCAGGCTGTTTCTACCATCTGAAAGGATCTGTATTTTTTCCAGTCAAACAAACAATCATATTCAGCACTTTTGCCTCCCTATCCCAGATTTCTGTCCCCCAGTCCTTTTAAATCTTTGCCAACTTTGAGACAAAAGCTATTTTCACCAGCAGACTGGAAACCGGACATATTTTACAAAGCAATCTCTGTGGAAGTCTGTGCAATTTTCAAGCTGGTATGTCAGAAGCTTCATGAGCTGGTTTAAAAGCAAATGAGATTTCTGCTCTGGTCAGAGTTAATTTTCTTTATCACAAGAATTCCAGTATTTCCAGTATTTTGCTACCAGAAAGTTGCGCGGCTTTCGCTGTATTTCTCTCTAAAGGGGTAGCAAAAGTAGGTAATGGAATTTTTTCCTCATAGGACACATGTTTATATTCATCAATCATTTATTACCCTTTTATATGACAGGTTTAGTAACTTTCTGGAAGAGTTGAAACTAAGGCCAAACCCTTGGCTCAGTAGCCATCCCAAACAGCTTGTTGGGATGTGAAGCAAACCCAAGTGGAGATGGGAGCAACCAGCCTATACACCCAGCTATCCCTAGCAGGGGACGGGGGAAGATTGGTGCCAGGAAACATAACGTGGCTCCTTCGTACATTCACCAAATCCTGAAATCTCAGAGCATTCCCAGCATCAGATCACTGAAGGCAGGGATTGCACTCGTGCTTTGCATATCCATTTCCTCCAGCATTTCAGTACAGGGGCGGGTGATGCTGGAGTACAAGGACAGCCAAATTGGCTGTTACAGCATGGCAGCTCCACACAGGCCACACAGCTTGAGCTGGGTGCAGCACGAACCCCACTTTGTAACTGTTTATATAGACATATATATGCACGTGTGGGATTGTGCGTGTGTATACATACATATATATGCACGTTATATATACACACACAGCATTACCTGCTTACTACGATCCATAGCATAAGGGAAATGCAGCTTTGGGCACATATTTACAGGGGCAGACCTTGTGACTGCATATTCAGTCTAAAATTTTCAGTTCACTTGCTTTGCATCGATCAATAGCATCGCTGTGATGGTTTTGCTTGGCAGAAGGCACATTCAAGAGCATTACCTACTGCACACTCACCTTTCTAAATACCTTTCTAGGTTTTACTTCTTATATAATTGACCAAATAGGTATAATCACGTTACCAATTCAAAAAGGGTAGGAAAAGGACCTGAGACATACCATATCTTTTTGAAGTTGCAGTCGCCTCTGAGTCTTTTTCTGATTTTCTTTCACACTGCTGTCCAGATTCGCAAATTTGGATGTTCCTTCCTGTTAGGGAATTAGAAGGCAAATCATGGAGGAGCCAAGTGGGAAGCTGACAACTACCTTTGTGTAAAATAATTGCAAATATATTTAAACAAGCAAAAGTATTTGCTGTGCAGGTACATGCATGTACATGTACACATGCTAATTTTCTGGGACTCGTACAATGATTGGGAATTTTGGACAAAAATCTCACAAGATGACCATAAGGGAATTGTTCTGCAAAACAATTCTACTCAGGCTGAAGCTAAGGGCTGTTGGAGATCTCCTGAGAGTTTAAATCAGAGAAGCTTAGAAATACTTCAGGTGTCCAGATGCTTCTCTGAACTCTGACACTCTTGACCCCAGGATTTCTGTTTAATTTCCTAATCAGGACTGCTACAAGTAAACATCTCTATCTTATGTAATGCTTTGTTGTTTTTCTTATACCACAACATAGAAATCCAGCAACTACGCTCTGTGGCTTACTGACTAATCCAAAACCACGCAGGAAATGGAAGTAATAGGTTTTCATCTCCACAATTCAAGCTTTCCTATGAATGGATGAGCTATTTCACAACAGATCTCTAGCCTTTATTTCCCTGGATCCATATGGGATGCTTGGAGTTAGTGTTATTTTTTCCAGTGGTTGGATAGACAAGGCATGAATCATTATCAAAGCCTTTTTAAGAGGCACAAAACAACAGCCTGCACTTGTAAAAATCCTCTTGTTACAATATTTACTTCTCTCAGTCACAGTTAATGAACAGATCGCTCAAACTGTATTGCCTTCCTTGGCTGAAAAATAGGAGCAAATGAAGAAGGTGTGTTGTCTCAATGTCTTCAAGATACTGAAAGGTAACTTCAAGGTTCTCTAACAGCAGCCAGCAGGCAGGCACAGAAGCTCAAACTGCAGCTCCCAGCAGTGCCGTTGTTCGGGGAGGAGAGAACACAGTGACCCCTCTCCGTGCCCAACCTGTCTCACATGGCATTTTGTCTGCTCTACACTTCAATTTGCACGATGGAGAGCCAAGGGTCAAACGTGTCATCCCTAGAGAGACTGTTTATAGTGAAAGAAAACAATGACTTGAAGGATTTAGCGGACATTAATCCTCAAATCATTACAAAACAGTCCAAGACAAGGAGAGAGGTTCTAGGTATTCCGTCAAATTTTTCTCCTTTCACTGCTTTCAAGATGTTCTGCAAATCTACTTAGAGCAGCTGGAGAGCGTGATTTGCTGGGAGCCAGGAGGTCTGGAGTAAGACTGAATTGTTGTTTTGTCTTTTTAATATTTAGTCAAATAAGTTGTTCTGAACACACATATTCCCCTCTATGCTTATTATTGTCTCACCTGCTTTAAAATTTAGCTACAGATGCTTATAAATGATGACAAACAAATCAGACTGACAGGTTTGAAGGTGTTCACCCATCATTCCTGAGCAAAACACAACATTTCAGGTACCAAGGCAAGGGGGTGAGGGACAAATGCCGGATTGACTGGGTGGAAATGCCAAAAAGTAAACTTGTTGGCCAGTTAAGAGAAAATTTTATGTAAACAGAAAAAAACTGCCACAAACATTCCTTAGTTTCTACAGAATATAACCTTCCTCTGCTATTCTTCCTCACTCCTTTTCAAGCTACTGAGTTTGTTGGGGTGCACCCAGGAGAGCACACAAGTCAAACTGATTCAGACAGAGCCTGCTTTGTTGTCCATCTGACCACACACAGAGCAGGAAGCTTGTTCCTTCAAAATTCCCAGCCCTGTTTTCTAGTTCCAAGAAAGGTACGGGATAGTTGGATAAACATCTTAGTTTAATTCCTCAGCTGAAGCTGAGTGGCATTGTTCCAGTGAAGTCAAAGGCACTACAGTGGCGCAACCCGGTTGAGAATCTTGTTTGGGGTTTCTCTGCGCTCACTGGTGCAAACCTGAGCCTTTCTAGATCTGCTCAGAGGGTGCACAAGTTCTCTGCTCATCTCTCTGACAGAACAGTAGAAAGCCAAAGTCCTAATTTGTAACTTGTCTCAGTAAAATTACACTTTTTCACTCCACTCAGTCGTGGCTCCAGTGCTATCAGAGTGACGACATGGCGCACACAGCTGTTCTTGAGCCCACTCAGTCGTGGCTCCAGTGCTATCAGAGTTACGACACGGCTATTCTTGAGCTAGACATCACCGTGCCCAAGGGAACTACAGCAGCGTGACATTCAACTTGAGGGGCTCCAAGGGGTCCTGAATGAATCCAAGCAAAATCTGTCCTGCTGCAGCCTGCTGTATATGTGGAATCTGAGCTTAATGGGCTCAGAACCAATGCAGGTTCTTTCAGGAACAACAAAATTACCTCTCATCCCAGCAGAAAAGCACAGGTTTTACAGACCTATCTCCCTGAAGCACTGCATGCAGTAGGGTTCAGGGGAGAGATGAGCTTTGGCAGCTGGTTAGAAAAAGGAATAATTTCAGCTTTGACTGAGATCACAGGCCTTGCAACTCAAGCTAATTCTCACCTTCATTAGTAGCTCCCTACTTGCCATATAATTGTCATTGTCAGAGAAGATAACAGACAGCTCTTCGAACATCATCATTACATCCCTGGAAAAGATTGAATAATTTACGTTATTAGTAAGCACTCTAAATCAGATCAGATTACTATTTTTTTCTCATGAATTGTTAATAGTTGGGCATATAAAAAGATAACACCACCAAAATGCATCGAATGAGATGCTGCACATCTACTAGGAACCTTCATGGGATTTTCTGGTGTTCCCAGAAAAATCAGGCTTTATTTGACAGCATCACAGAGAAATGGCACTGACCCCGAGCAGGGTTTTCAATCACACTGCAAGGTATGAGATTTTTGTAAAAAAGTGGATAAATGGATACAAAGGGACAAAACAACAGCTATGAGAGGTATCCTAAGTACTTCATTTTTGACATTTCATGCACTCTGGAAAACTAGAAGGATTTAAGTGTACGAGTCCCTTTCTATTACCCAACACTATAAACACAAGATGGCAATATTTTGATCAGGAACAGGAACACAAGGCAGGAGAAGGAAAGACCCACATCTCTATGGGAGAAGTGCAGAAGTACACTGCATGGCAGGGGGACGTTTTTCTCTGTTTATCAAATGCAAAGAAAAGAAATCCATTCTTCCCAAACTGACCAAGCAGAACACCATCTTTCCGACACAGGGATTTCTGGTGTCTGTTTGGCATGCAGTAAATATGCCAGTTGCACAAACAGGTATTGCCCTGTAAGAAATACTGTCTTCAATACAGATTTGGATTTTGTACTTTGGGGATATATTTTAAGGAAATGTCAGGACAATGAGAGGGTAAACGAGGGTCTGTAGCAACCTGGACCTCCTCCAATTTCATGGGAGAGAAGACAAGCAGCAGGTATCACAGTGCCTTTTTGTTGACATTCTGAGAGCAGTGCAGCAGGTATCACAGTGCCTTTTTGTTGACGTCCCAGAGCAGCGTGCACAAGCTGAGTGAGCAGCTAGTCCCATGATTTTTCAAAATAGGTTGTGGAAGATCCAGGATGCTATAGAGGACAGAAGAGACCCAGTATCCCTGGGGACGGGTTGTCCCCTTGATAGGAAACAGAAGCTCACAGCAGTTGGAGCCAAAAAAGAGGTGTGAGCCTCGCAGGAATGAGAGGTTCTTCTAAGAGAACAGATGTCCATGAAGGAGCAGAATAGGACAACTGAGAAGAAGATGAAAAGAAAGAGCACTGAGCTTTTTGGCTTTGTATGAATCTAGCCACGGAAGCGGAGGGGGAAGCTTACTTTGGAACGCATGCCCAGATCTTCTTCAGCCGAAAGATGGAGTTGGACTGCAGTGCTGAAATAATGGCCCTCAAGGAGGAGAAATTCTTCAGCATCCTACATTCCTGTGAAAGGAGCGGTTAGAAATAGAGGAGCATTAAATGTCAGCATTACAAATAGGTTAGTGCTCTTCTGTTTGACCGGTGTCCTGCTTGCTACACATTTCTCACTGCTAAGCAGACAGCTGTACAAATAATGAGCATCAAAAATATCACTCCCCCCCCTCCAGCCACCAAACACTTTATGGGCTTTGGCACTTCTATCTTGTTTTCCTCACTTTCATGTATTTCTGGTGATGTTGCAGTGTTACAGCTTCCAGTTCTCCTAGTAAAAATAAAAGTGGAACTGAGTCCATGAAGCCAGGTTAAAGAGCACAAATGTTGCACTTCTTTAAAACTCTTTATAGCACTAATCCCTTTTACCCTTTAGGGTAAAAACCAGGCTTTGCCTCTTTGTATGTGGTATTTAAAATGTAAACCCTCAATCATCTAAGCGTCAATTATAAGTAAAGACATGCAAAGGAATAACCTGTTACTCAAGTATTTGCACACTGTTAAAGAGAAAAAGCTTCCCAACTCTTCCAGAATTAGGGTCAAATCCTAACAGAGACTGGTTCATAGACATTTCTTACGCGGCTTCTCTGGGGCAAAAAACTTTGATAGAACAGGACACTGAAAAACTTAATCCTTAAAAAAAATAACATAGTAAAGATTCCTGGTAAAGCAGATGAAATCAAGGAGGGGCAGGTGGAAAGTCTGGCCTGTGTGACTCTCCAAGGAACTCGGGTAAATCTGAACCAAATCTGCACCACAGACCTCAGAAACTCTTGCAAATACAAGCCCTCACAAACAGGTGTCTGTACATGCAAATTAAGCAGACAAAACACATGCCAGTTGACTGTTGCATGTAGATGAGAACGTATTCAAACTATAATTCCACTTCTGCAAAGTTTTATGGGGCTGATTATTACACCAATAATGCTGATTATGTAAAGGTTCCTTACAGTGAAAACAGACATAATTTGTTTCTTTTGTAGGACTGAACAAATGAAAGTAACCTTAGCAAAAACGAAAGTCAAACCTTAATGTATCAGCAACTCTGTTCATGAGCTGCATTAAGATAACTATGGCAAGACTGAACAACTAAGACACATTTACTTGCCAAAAAAAAAAAAAAAATCTTTGTGCAATTTAGGAGGCTAGTTTAATGAAGTGTGGCTTAAGAAGACTGACTGGGTAGCCAGCACTTGAAGCCATTTGGCAGTTAAGCTAGATAAAGGCCAAGTTCAAGATCACGTGGTAGGACATGCAAGACCTGAAAGCTATTTTTGTGTGGTTCGGGGCCAAAGAAGCCACATAACAGCTCCTCTTCAGAGACTGACACATTTGAGAAGGAGATCCTTCCTTCTTTATGTTCAACTTGAAATTCAGGGTGGGGAGAACACAGATTTAGAAGCACAAGTTCTTAGCATATCTTTTTTTTTCAAATACAATAGGAGTTTGGACTGGAAGATCCAGTTTGGAACCATCTTGGCTCAATTGCACATTGCATAATTTAAAGCACATTAGAAATTCAGTATTGGATTTTGTGTTCTCAATGATTTAACTGACTGCAGACTAAACTTTAGCAAGCTTTCATTTGTATATAAAAAGAATTTTTAAGACTGTTTTGGATAACTTTGTTTCATGCTGTGTCCTTCACAAGGGGAAAACCAGAAAGAATCCTGTGCAGAAGCAACTTTGATTAAAAAAAAATTAAACATAACAGGATATTAATAATTTCTTTTTTACTTTTTATTTTTAAAGAAAATATTATGTGAGTGAAATTGGCTGCTTCTGCTCAGGAACCTCAGATATAGGCGGAGCAGTGAGGGCTGGCAGTTAGAAAAAGTATTTGGTTTATCTTGTAAACCAAGACAGCAGATCCAAAAGTCACAAACAGATAACAAACATGGAATTGCATGCTGCTAAGTTACAGAGTTAGCTGTCAGTGAATAACTGCACTTTAATGAGTGGATTGTTTTCTAATTCAGGCCTCTGACTATTCAAAACGCTCATTTGCATGCAGAAAGCAAGCAACTTTCTTCAGAAGTGGGCAGCTAAGTATATATGCAACTAGCTGTTCTACATGTGCAATTATTTTGTAGAGCGTGCACATGCATTTTTCATGTGCTCAGCTAAGACTGAAGTATTTAATTACGTGTATGAATTAAGTAAGGGAGAAGCACTGAATCAACAGAGGTGGAGAACAAAGTTCTCCATCCACAGAACAAGTACGATGAGCGTGGTGCCCGTACTGGCTTCCCTGGGCCTTCCTGCTGACCCACAGCGAGCAGGAAACTGCTTCGTACTTGCTGGCCCAAACTGCAGACCAGTCTGCCCTATAAGGGCCCCTTTGGCCAGTAACCTCTGCCACTTAAAGATCTGCAGACGGAAAATGGGCATCAAACTTCCTAATCTGTTCACATGGGCTATAAAGCAGCCATCAGTTGATAACAAAAACCAGCCAAAAGAGAGGTGAAAGACTACTTCCCCATACCAGTTTCCTGAACCATGCAGTTGCTGGAGCCTAAGGTGCCAGGACTAACAATGCTGCCTCTGGAAGCATAGAAGTGCATTGTCAAGGTTGGAAAGCCTCTGTTTGGCTTGAGCTTTTTATGACTGCTTATTTTGTATAGCTCAGAAAGGACCCATGTGATTCTTAAAACAAAAGTCAACACACATCCATATGAAAGTGCTTTAAAGTTCTCTTCAAAAGAGAGATCTAGTTCAGTGCCAGCTGCCCAGCGCTCTGAAGGGGAGTTAATAAGATTGCAGTAAAATATTAAAGATAAAATCTAAGAAATTAGCAAACTAGAGTTATGTAAAGAAGGCATGCAAAACCCTTTCACGCAAAGATTAAGAGACACCTAGTCTGCTACATGACAAAGGAATTGAAGCAAAGAGTGAAAACGTGTTAAGCATGTGAGACAATGATACAGCAGAAAGGTCAGAAGATGAGGGGACTAGTACCGTATTATAACCCTACTTGTATTTTCTTGTCACTGCTTGCACCTCTTGCTCCCTGCTGTTTTGTGTACCTAATATAAACTGTGAATAACTCAGTAGGCAAAGGACTTTTCAGCCTCAAGAATTTTTCAAAACAAAAGAGTTGAAACAGCAGTTTCATTTTTCTCAAGTTGAAGAGGCTACTGCTTCCTAGAAGTAAATTAGATTTGTCTGCACTGACTTAAACCCTTGTATTTACTTTCCTTTCGTATGTACATAGAAATATATCTAAATGTATGAAAACATGAACAGCTGTGCTGTCTTCCACCATGGCTGATTTCAACTCTCATGGTGTTCACAGATAGGGGAGAGGGAGTGTGATGCTCATTGACTGAATGTGAATGGCCAAAGGCAGGTAAGCGTGAAGCTTATTTCGACTGTGCCTCCTGCCAGACCTACTCCGTTCTTGTTAAACTTTCCTCTGAAAACAAGTCGAGCCTTTGGATGATATCAACCTTTGGATGATATCAACCATCACTTCAACTTCTTTCACTGATATGAGCAGTATTTTCTTCCTAACAAAGTGAAGAACTGTTTGAGTATACCTATCTTACCATAAGTAATACATTATCAAGTATATGGCACTCCCCATCTGCAAGACACAGTATCTGCATCATTAATTAGCACTCCCAACCCTGCGAGGAGACAAGCATCAACCCTGTTTCCATGGTAGGGAAGGAACCAAGGTGAGAAAGGGCAATACTTCATCTGCTATTACAAAGAAAGTCAGTCAAAAAGAGAAAGAATTCAAGCTAAGATGTTCACTGGCCTGGGACCAACGCATACAACCCCCTTCTCTCCTCCCAACTCCCTCACTCCAAGGTACCCACACAAGAAACATTAAACAGTCTAGAATAAATGCCTTACTTGTCCAATATTAATCCACTTCTCAATGATCTTGGCTCTTTGCTGTGTTTTGAGTTCTCTGTTCGTCAGGATAGTGCTGATAACACACTTGGTGACTGCATTGAATTGAGAGATGGTGGCTCTGATGGTAGGTACCAGGTGCTCATTTTCTTTCTTATCCCTATGAGACCAGATGGATCCCAAGCAGTGGTAAGGCACAACTTTCTTGAAAAGTTCCTAGAGTGAAGCAGAGGTGTGTAAATCAGCAGAATTCTCCTAGATCTCTATTGTCCACAAGAAGAAATGTTTGTTTTCAGTACAAACTGGATCTAATTCTAATACAGTATTACAAGGTAAATATTTGTTATCTCTTAGTTTAAAATATACACTTTGGCATACTCTTTATAGGCTTGATGCCCGAGAACAACTCTCAGCTGGGAGAATAAGAGACAACTTTATAACAGTTGCATAAACAAGGGGAATTTTTTTTATATAGTGATATTTTGAAGGAGATTGATACAGACAAACTAAATTAGAGCTCTACAGTTAGGAGTACCTATACCTCTTTAGGCCAGGCAGCAATGTAGTCAAAATATGCTATTTCTCAGGTGTCAAATACTAAACTTTACAAACAAAAAAAGACTATACAGTATACCTTAACACTTTAAAACAGCCCAAACCTTCAGAATGACTGAAGGAAAAAGCCCAATGAATGAAACAAGTTTGCATAACCAATTAGAGCTCTGTTCTGTGTCCCAACAACAGACCTATTCTGGAACACTGTACTTACATTGACATAACTTTAAAAAAAAAATTAAAAATTTAGAAGCCCAGCACTATTTCCCTTAGCATTTCAAGAAATACATATACTCTACATACCGCATCCATGTATGTCAACTGTTCTGCCACATGGTCTTCTTGGAAAAAAGAGAAATCTTCTGGAATGATCTCCAGTTCCTCTTCATCAGACAGGTTACAGGCGAGAGTGCTATTGAATGCATCTGTCCAGGATGGAAAACACAACAATAAATTTATACAGCAAATGGTGAATCAAAGCAGATGTTTGTTTATTTTAAAACATCACTGTATATATTTTAGCAGAACGCCCAAATGGCCCCACTGTGCTGCATATTTTGGTGAGAAAGACGATGAACAGGAGATTAAATTGGCAAAGAGAAGGTGGAAGAGAAAGAGAGATAATTGAGCTGTTCAGGGTCTCTTAGCTTAGAAGTAGGTTAACCCATTCGCTAACCATTGGTCTGAAAGAATAATACCCCCCCCCAAAAAAAAATCCTTATTAACATTGCAGAGTTTTGTTGAATTACTTTTCAATATTTATGCATTTTACAACGTGAAAAAACCCACCACAAACCAAAATGCAAAGGGATGAGACTGCAATTATATCCCCAAAATATTACATTAGGAATGTTCTTATATCCAGATTTTATCTCTCACGTGTGGAAATAAAAGGATGTATCAGGTTTTCTTGGCACCATTTGTGCCTTCACAGGGCTACATGGACTATATTGATCCAACATCCCACACCTTCCCTTTCTGGGAATTTTTCCCAGAAAAGGGAATACAGTGAGGACCTGCAGCATTCAGCTGAACTCTTCTTCTAAATTTTCTCTGGGCAGCAGTGAAGAGGTGAGACAGGAGAGCTGTCCTCACCGCAGGACCCGACCCAGTGCAGAAGGGAAGAGATTTCACAGATGTTCCCATGTCACCTTTTGGCTCCCACAGGTTGGGAACAAAGCCACATTAGAACACAAAGAAATATGCCCTTGTTTCCCATGGTACAGGAGGAAGTCAAACAGAAAATCCCTGAAAATAAATCCTCTTCCTAATCCCTTTTACTGTAAGGCAACAGTAACTCCAAAAGAAGAAAGAGGAAAAAAAGCTTGGACTTGTTGGAGACTAACAATGAAAGTACTGAGTTTACTACTAGTGAGATTTCATTAACAAAAACAAGCAGTGCATTTCAGAGTATGTTATGCAATATTTCATATCCAATTAAAGCAGAACAGATATTAAAGCAACAAGAGCAGATAAAGTGATACTTCTTCATTGTTTTTCAAAATACTTCAATTTTCCTTTCTTTATTCATTAGCAAAACCTAATTGTCAATGTAAACTGCTAGTTTTTATGTAACAAATTATAACTACAGGCTGTATCCACATTTCCAACTGTACATTCCAATCTCACAATTTATTGACAGAGCTAAACATGATAAATGGAGATCTCTGTTCAGGCCTTATTTTTCTGTGGCTGTTTCGTAACAATCCCCATAATTAAACGGGCATCTACTGAACTGTTATGAGAGTGATACTTTTGTCTCTCTCTTTTTGGCTATGTAACTCCTCATTTTCCTTTCAACTCTTGAAATTCAACTGAAAATCCTCATCACCCAGTTACAACCCTACTCAAAACCTTACAGCACCCTTACAACCAGGTCCTGGAGTGCAATGCAAGGCTTCCCTTTTCATTTTTCATGCCTCTTTTTGTCCTTTCTCACTTTCCTAGATGTGTAAACAGTCTTCTCCCTAACTCCCCAAGAAGCTGGAATCCTCTTGTACTCAAGTATCTCATCACATTCAAACTGCTCTGATCCATTTAGCCCTCTCAAAGCCCTGCTGCTGCCTTGACTTCACTGAGAGCAAACACGAGCCCCTTCTGAATTTGCACTTTCTGACTCACCTTGCTTTGTATTGCTCAAGCTGCAAGCACTGAGGCCAGGGAACAGCTTTTATCTACATATCTGGTACTGCAATCTAATCTACTGGCACGGCTGATGGCAGCACTGAATGGAGGTCTGATTACACAAATCAAGCTCTAGTATCAGGACCCAAATTTGTAAACTGAGAACATGATATGAATGCTTTAGAACAATAATTATCAGCAAGTCTTGATTGCAGACAACTCATTAAGAGTTTTGAAAGAAATCTCTGAAGCTAACAAAGATGGAGCTCAGATAAAGTAAGAAACAACTCTAAAACTCTTCTCTGCAGACCCTGCAAGTTAATTGCTTTCTCCTCCTCTTATTTTATTCTAATTAACAGCCTCTATTCTGCCACAATTTTGAAAACATTATTCAAACTGACCCATCTATAACTCAGTAAAGAATGTTTTCAACTACTACTTAAGGAAACAAATGCAGAAACAGGGCTGCTGGGAACTTCTGCTCACTTTGAACAACAGATGAACCCAAACATAGCTCTCCTGAGCTTGCTTTGTTTGACCCGTGGGAACCAAACCCAGGAAGGGACATCAATAGGCCCATGGTAGCAACCCTGTTCCCTTACCAGTGTTCAATAAGGAAAACGTCGGGGCTCTGTGCATACTTCTTTTTATGTATGCGTTAACGAGAGTTAATTTGGCATTTCACAGAATTACATATTGACATGGCATTTCTGGAACATCCAGCAGACATGGTTTTTATGGGATTAAATGTTGGGGTCTTTTTCCTGTCATTTTCTTTATCCTTTATGAAATGAGTTATTCCCTCTCACCCCTCTCCCAAACCTGGAAGTTGATTCTCATTTTCGTTCACACACTACATGAGCTCCTATGACTTTTCAGCTTATGCCACAGGAAGCTCTCTGACCAGGATAAGGGTATATGTCAGGCTTGACGCTGCACACAGCTTATTTGTGTTACTACAGTTCACTATTGTTTCAGTAGATTGTGACCCCCAATAACGTAAGTTTTTCCTCTGTCCTTGGATACCAGCAGCCAGCCACTCAAATAGGAAAAAACAGCCACAGCCACTTCCTTTGACATGATGGTAACTAGGAAGAAAAGCTTTGTGACAACAAGGCCTGTGACTCAAGCTGTATTTTTTTGCAGCTCTGTCTTTTGCTTTTTGTTGGTTTGAGCTTTTCTTGAAGGGGTAGGGGTGAAGTGAGAAGACCAGCTAAAGAGCAGCTATGTAGTTTAATTCAGTGACATGGGAAGTTTGCTGACAATTAACCACTTAATTGCTGCAGCAATCTCAAGGCTTTGGCTAAATGTTAGAGAAGTGTTGGAGTTCCCAATCCAGCCCAGAATGAACAGGCATAGGCACCTACACTGTACAACTATTTCAACCCTGCACAGGACCTGCAGCCTCATACAGAGATTATTATTTTAGAACAAAACCAAAACAAACAAACAAAAAAACCCAAACAAGAATAAAGTCACTCACGCATCTCACAATATTGTCAGTTAGCATGAGAGTGGATGAAATGTAAGGCACATAAATCCCTGTAGTACCAGACAGTCTGGGAGAACAAAAAACAGAAGGGAAAGGTAACTTACTGTCATTTTCCACTTCTTGGTTCTGGAATTGCTCCAAGAGGTTCTGCGCCTTCTTTTCTGCGTCACAGCCGGGCATATTTGTCTTCAGATAATCCAGCAACTTCAGCAAACACGGGAAGTCAGGCACCTCTCTGAAATCCTCAGGGCACTGATCAAGCCAGGCTCGTAAGATTGATGCTATTGCACTAAAAGCAAAGACATAGAGAACACAGTGGTGTTACACATGTATATGGCATGTATGGATGAATCGTATATATCTGTATCTAATATAACAATAAAACCACTGAGACATTCATACTCCATGTGAAGGCAATATGAAGACTTTTTGAGCAAGGAATTTAATTTATTCTTTTTATGCATAGAAACTTAGTAAGATGTCACTCAGATTTCACTCAGGGACTTCAGTGAAGTTGCTCCTGATTTGCACTCCTACCAGCGGATCCAGTTATAGCCCCGAAATGCAAACTAATAAAGAATCAAATATATTTAAGCTATATTGAGTCTCCAATTAAATTAAGGAAATCAAATAATGATAAATAAGGCAATTAAGGTAATAGGATAAAATAGAGTTTCAGTTGGAAGGGACCTTACAACCATCATCTCGTCCAACTACCTGACCAATTCAAGGCTGACAAAAAGTTCAAGCATGTTGTTAAGGGCACTGTCCAAATGGCTCCTAAAAACTGACAGGCTTGGGGCATCAACCACCTCCCCAGAAGCCTGTTCCACTGTTTGAACACCCTCTCAGTAAAAAAATACTTCTTAACATCCACCCTAAACCTCCCCTGGCACAGCTTTGAACCATCACCACACATCCTGCCCCTGGATCCCAGGGAAAAGAGCTCAGCACCTCCCTCTCCACGTCCCCTCCTCAGGAAGCTGCAGAGAGCAATGAGGTCACCCCTCAGCCTTCTATTCTCCAAACTAGATAAGCCCAAAGACCTCAGCCGCTCCTCACAGGACATAACTTCCAGCCCTGACACCAGCTTTGTTGCCCTCTTCTGGACACATTCAAGGACCTTCACATCCTTCTTCAACAACAGGGCTCAGAACTGCACACAGTGCTCCAGGTGAGGACACACCAGTGCTGAATACAGCCCGATAATCCCCTCTCTTGGTCATGCTGTTTGATGAACCCCAGGATGCGGTTTGCCCTCTTGGGGGGCCCCTCAGCAGGGCACACTGCTGGCTCCCATTGAGCCTGCTGTCGACCAGCACCCCCAGACCCTTCTCTGCAGGGCTCATCTCCAGCCACTCCTCTCCTAATTTATCCTTGTGCCCAGCATTACTCCATCTTAGGTGAAGAATCCAGGATTTCAGCTCTTAAATTTCATCCCATTCATCACAGCTCCAATCCATCTAGATCCTTCTGCAAGGCCTCCTGTCCCTCATGAAAGTCAAGAACACCTCTCAGTCTGGTATCATCAGCAAACTTGCTAATGGTGCATTCAACTCCCCTATCCAGATCGTTGATAAGCATATTGAACAGAACTAGCCCTAGAATTGAGCCCTCAGAAACACTGCTGATAACTGGCCACCAGCTAGATGTAGCCCCATTCACTACAACCCTTTGAGCTCTGCAGTTCAGCCAGTTCTTCACAGTGGAATTGCCTGCTCCTGTGCTTTTAGAAGGTAGTTCTTAAAGACTGTCCAGTACTCATGGACTCCTAAGCCTTCAAAAGCAGATTCCCAGGGTACTCTCCTAAATAGCTCCCCAAATATCTTAAAGTTTGCTCCCCTGAAGTCCAGGGTAGAACTCTGCTGTCCTTTTTTCTCATTACAGTGAAAATTTTAAATTCAAACATTCCATGATCACTGTGGCCAATACAGCTACCTCCCATCACATCCCCCATGAGTCTTTATTCACAAACAGCAAGTCTAGGAGGGCATCTTTCCTAGTTGGCTCCCTGAGTATACCTGTGACAAGAAGTTACCTCACACAAACTTCAAGATTTTCTAAGACCTGTTTGTTACAACACTATGATATTTCCAGTTGATGTTTGGGAAGTTGAAATCTCCTGCAAGGACAAGGGCTACTGATCCAGACGTTTTTCCTAATTGCCTATAGAACAAATCTTTACATTCTGGCTGGGTGATCGGTAGTAGACACCCACTACAACATCTCCTTTGTTTTCCATACCACTAATCCTTACCCAGAGGCTCTCAAACACATCATCACTAACTGCAAGGGCTGTGCAATCAAACCTCTCCCTTACTTATAGTGTGACACCTCCACCTCACCTGCCCTGCCTACATCTCCTGAACAGACTGTAGCCCTCCATCCCAACACTCCCATTGGGGAACTCTGATATTACAGAATCACAGAATCTTCACGGTTGGAAGGGACCTTTGAGATCATCAAGTCCAACCAAAAAAAACCCTCAAAAAACCAAAACAAACAAACAACAACAAAAACTATAACAAACAAACAAACAAACAAAAAAACAACCCACCCACAAACAGACACAAACCAACTATCTCAGGCACTAAAGCATGCCCTGAAGTGCCATGTCTACATGTTTCTTAAATAGCTCCAGGGATGGTGACTCCACCACCTCCCTGGGCAGGCTGTTCCAGTGCCTGACCACCCTCTCGGTAAAGTAACTCATTCCACCAAGTTTCACTGATCTGTTGTAATCAACAGCCATAGAAATAGCCGTCTCCCAAGTATACAAACCCAGTATCTTAGACAAAAATTATTTGGTTTTATGACCAGCACTCATTATCATCCTGATTCCCTGTATTGCACCATTTGTCAAGCAAGACTTGCAAATTACCTTGGAGTTATGCTTTGTTTAATGAGTTTAAGTATCTTTGCTTAGCTCTACCATGACCATGTTTGAATAACTACCAGACATTATGCACACAATTAAAAGCAGAACATTTCATTATTGCCTCTTGTGCCAGCGGGAAGAGCTGTGGCCCGGTGAGGCTGCAATGTTTGCTCTGTTACTGCTCTCCGGGATGTTGTGGGAAAATAGCAGGGAGGAAACAAGGTATTCGTGGCTCCTTCAGAATAGCAGCTTCTCAGCGGAAGTACTAAATCAAACACTTCCTTTGGTGCCCTTCCTCTCATCAATTGCTGCTGCCAAATCTGGGGACCAAACTGAAGCTGCGTATTCCTCCATACTGTATTACTCATTATCTGTTGTCTTAGTAGAAAGACTGCCCACTCATGAAACCTTGGGTTCTGTGAAAAAGCAGTCTGAGCCTGCTTAGACTCTAAGAAGTCTAACCCCCATGAGCACACACAGTTAGTGAGATTGCCTCATCTGTGAAGATAAAACCCTAATCATGACACGTGTAGCATGGGCAGCATTATGCTGCCAGCGCCTGGTATCAAGCTTGAAGCACCAAGATAGCTGAACCCAGAAAAGAGATTGGTCTTGCTAATCTCAGGAAGAAATGCGTAACAAAAATATATCAGCAGAATCTTGATTTTACCCTTAGCCTGAAGACAAGGAGAGCCTGTCAAATTATACCATGCAAAAAGGTATCTTGGTCATACTGGTGGTGCAGGAAAAGGATGCTTAAGGAGATATAGGAGTGTTGGATCTCATACAGGAAAGTTATCCCAGACCTTCTTAAACACATGCAGCTAAAAAGACACCAGTTATAGAGAACTGCCCATGGACAACCCTTCTAGAGGCTGAGGGGGGGTGCAAGGAAGCCAGAGCTGATGAATCACTGTGGCTTCCTCTCCTGCCTGAAGCAGAGGGAAGTGATCTATTGATCTGCTTTTCCTGATTAATGTAGGTTTTAATGCACACCCACCTATTAGATTGGTACTTAGATACTGCACAAACGTATGCTTACGGGAATTTCTTTAAATCCCATTTTAGCAGGGATTTTTCATCGCTTCAAGTTGATTTTGTAAGACAATAAGACAACTACAATTTATGCTATGGCTTTCCAGAAATAATATTTCTGGAAATATTGTTGACAAATTTCAACTAAGTGTGAAAAAACTGGAAGAAGTCTGGAAAAATACTCCAATTTCTTCAGTTTTAAGAAAATTCAAGCCTAGATAAAAAATAATCAACTTTTTTTTTCTGCTGCAGAAAGAAGACGACTATGAAATCTTTGGCTCCAATTTCTTCAGTTTTAAGAAAATTCAAACCTAGATAAAAAATAATCAACTTTTTTTTCTGCTGCAGGAAAGACTATGAAATCTTTGATTCTTCATAGCAACAGTGGTAAATTTCAGTAAAACCCTCTAACCACGAGTATTCAGTTAGAGACACAGATGTGTCAGCTCACAGAGCATCTGTGCTCTGTACTCATGATAATCAGACACTTGGCTTTTAAAATTCAAATCCTCAAACACATGGATGTAGTGGCTCTGGGTCTATTGCATTAATAGCTGCAAAATAGAAAGGGACAAGCCTGCCAGGAGGACCTCGCTCAATTTATAAAATCATGAGAAGAGTTCAAATATGAACCCAGATTTCACATGTAGACAACAAGGAACCCAAAAGCCAACCCAGAAAGCTCTCATATCAGGGCCACATACAAATACTGGCACATTTGTTCTGCAAGTAGGGAAACCACAGCAGTATCTGGTTAGCTCAGCTGCCCAGTAGCACTCAAAATAAACCAATAGTTAAGAAAGAGTAAAGATAGCCTCTCCCATTCTCCTTGTCCCGTTTTAATCATAATGGTTTTTTCCTCAATTAATTTTTAATTGCACACAGATGTCATTTTACAAGTCCTATCCCCTTTAGTCTGTTGTTTCTTCTGTTTCCTTCGCTGATATTGTGGCAGCTTCAAAGTTTCAATTAGAGAGGGCATTTGGAAAGCTGTCAGTAATACTGTTTGGTTAGGCTTGCTGACAGGATAAACTCTGGAATTACAATTTTGAAGCTACAAAAAGTATTTACAACCAAAAACTAACATACAAACACCTTCTGGATTTCAGGTTTCATTGCAAACATAAAACAGAGATCGTGCAGCTCGGAAGGCTCTCTTTAGATTTGAAAACTCTTTTGGACTGAATTTCCACAGCTCTGCCCAGGCAGGCTTCCACTGTACATACAACAAGTAAGGCCTTCACAGTTTAGGCCAGTGGTGGCCAAACTTTATCTCCAGAGTTTCAGGGCCACTTTTCTCAGTCAGGATAGGTGCCACACGACAGCCAGCGCTGCACTACCACCACAATGGTGAAGCCAACAGTGTCAGCCCAGCT